CTTTTGCTCATAATTACCCCACCTGCTGTGCTAGATACAGACTCCTAACATGGAGGTAAGATCCTCCTTTCTCTCTGGGAAGTGATCTTGGCACAATTACCCAAACCTCTTGATCTGAAAAGGGTGAAAGCCATTTCTCCTCACGGCACTCTGCAGCCTCATTGTGAAGACACTTCCCTTAATAGTGTATCCCACCTGCATCAGGCAGAGCAGCACTTCAAGCTCCTTCTATCAGTTCTTGTGCCAGGGCTCTAAACACTGTATATTGCATAAAACGCTGACCCCATCATAATATTTGTCCTTCTCCTCCAAAGAGGACTGGGTAAACTGGACCTGAAATGGGTAGGAGATTGTGACACTGTTGGTGAACTCTGGCTTGAAGAAGTTGGAGTGAGGACTTGCCATGGAGATAGAAAGAAGCATAACTGGATCATCTTCTGAAGTTTGATGAAACAGAAAAACAAAAGAATCATGTTACTTAAGCAGAAGGAAACTCTCCATGAAGACTCCCTTTCTCTCTGCACCAAAAATAGTGAGAAAGTAGACGGTGCTTTGGGTAGAGAGGATTACTTACCTAATGTCAAGAGTCAAATGATTGTGAGGTGCTGCCCAACTTAGCTGGGCTGGATCCCATGCACTTTCCTACCCAGGTACCCTGGGTGAAGGAATGTGTAGTTGGTGCTACTGTGATCCTGGTGTAAGTCAGGTCTGCCAGCAAAAGGCACCGGAGAAAAACGCTGGGATTGTGGAAGGCAAAACATTGATATGTCCCTCCTGATGTATGAAACTGACTGACTGTCTCCTGCTCATAAGACCAGGAGCTGCAGACAGGGATGGAAAGCTTTTCCACCCTGAGAGCCACAAACTGAAATCTCTATAAGGCTGGCCTCACCTCTATGAGCTTTGGACAACCAAAGGTGCTCCATCCCTCCTCTGCTTCTCCCTTGCCCATCTCCAGGCAGAGACATTTTGATGGTAATGATGAGAGCAACTACGTGGAATTTGTACTTATCGGTGACAAGAATGCTCAGTGTTAAGGCCAGATCCTTGACATTACTTGCACACAGGAACTTGGACATGGTAAAAATTAACGATGCATCTTTATTTCCTTGAGGAATCAGGTTGAGTAACAATAACTGTTGGTAGGCAAGCTAACCGCAAATTCTTGGCACGTTGTGAAGTAACTGCAACTTTTGTAATTGTATTCCCTCTGTTTTCTGCTTTATGGCCAGAAGTTCATAGACACACCAGAAATTCAACTATCATTTTTTACTACTGCAAAAACAGTTCACTTATAAAAATATGTAGAAAATAAAAAGCTATTTCAATTATCAGTGTATGCATTTAAGGGAAATCATTTGTAGGCATGTTTTCACATGCATATGTATCTGTGTGTGTCTGTGCATGTATGCATATTTGTATACTTTTGTATACTTGAGAGATTAATATCAAAATATTGAAAAAAATCACATCACTAGTAATTAAAATATTTCAGTTTAGGTTTCATACTAAATGATCTGTAAGACATGGTGACATTTGCAGAGATCTTGGTCAATTAGAAACACCAGTCATTCAAAATACCAAACATATCATAACTATTATGATGTACTTCAGTTGTCATATTAAAATATTGCATGAACAATGTTTGTTGAATGAAGTGAGATGTAAAGTAAAATATGATCTGAAAAAGTATTTAGTATTGGTGGTTTTGGATGGTTATTTGGGTATGTCAGCAAGTGACTTGATGCAATGGAAGATCAGTAGAAAGGAAAGGATCACTAGTTCTTAGAGGTTGTGCTGAGGCTTCTCAGTTCTTCATTACATGGATTTATGAATTCAGTTTGACTTGGATTTTTCTATTGAATAAACCACAAAACAATGTAAGTTGGAATGGGTGTTTGGAGACCATCTGGTCCTTCCATCCCTCCAGACAGAACCAGTTTCAAAGACAGACCCAGTTTCAAAGACAGAATCTTCTGCAAACCGCTTTTTCCAGTTGAGTTTGAATATCTATATGAGGATCCAGATTCTATAAAGCCTCTGGGCCCCCACTCCAGCCTCTCATTGTGAGAGGGTTTTTTCCTTACATCTAATTGGAATTTCTCTCATTGTAATTTGTGTCTGTTACCTCTCATCCTTCCACTGTGCACCTCTGAGAAGAGTGTGGCTCCATCTTCTGTATAGCTACCATTAGGTAGTTGTGACCAGCAATTAGATGACCCTTAGCCATGTCTTCTTCAAGCTGAACAAAGATGAGTGCTTCAGCTCCTCTTCAAATGGCCGATGCCACAGTCCGAACTCTCCAGGTTTCCAAAAAAAAGAAATGTTATGTACACTCTACAGGACCTTGAGGTGGTGTAGCCCACACATTGGTTCATGCCCCACTAGGCACTGGAATAGCTTCAGGGTACTTCGGAGTACCTTCAAAGCAAAACTTCTGGTTCACTTTCCTCCTAAGGAATCTAGTTTGCACACATGAAAACCTCTCTGCAAACTGAACCAGCATGCAGTCACAGGGGACAATCAGGAGGTGACTTCAAAACTGCACTAATGCAATTGTAGACTTCACTGTGGATACCACCCTAGAAATGTGTTCACCTGTGGACAAAAAGGCAAGGCTTTGGCGGGGAGGGGGCGGGGGGAGAAGCTGAAAACAAAAGAATAAATATGATTAGGCACTATAAAAATCCAAGATGCATTTTGGGCATTGCATGCAATTCTAACCATCCCGTTCCCAAAAGGGTGTAATAGAATTGAAAAAAAATAAGATGAATGTGCAACGGGAGTGATCCACTGAAATAGATGGATCCATCTGAAGACTTATCTGACAGATGTGGTTGACAGAATCCCTCTTTTCATGGTGAGAAAATAGACAGACAAGGGGGAGTGTAAGAAAAGATCACTGGATCAGTAGTGATGTAGAGAAGTGAAAATAGAGTATTTATTTGCTTCTTCCCATGACAGAATAAGCAGAAGTGATCAACTGGCAGACTGAGAGCAGATAAGCAAAAAATCAATGCTCAGCAAAGGCATAATATGTTTGTGGAATTATCAGCCAAAGGTGCTGTGAGGCCAGAAGTACAAGAAGATCAGCCAGAGTCAGGAGCTCTTCAGCCTGAGGCACTGGATTTCCCTAAACTGATCTATTTTCCATCAGCTGGAAAGGTGTACAGGGACATAACCACGATGCACTCACCTTATTTCTGTACATTTTATGCTCTTTACTTAGGCATCCTTAGTGGCCACTGCCCACTAAGCCAATGGAGATTTGTTTTAGTTTCATATGTCCATTCCGTGTTCTTATACTATATATTTATGGAACAGAAAATGAACTAGCTGGGAGTGCAGAGAAGCACACAGATGTTTTGTATTGCAATGGATTATGTCGCTCCTGAGCAGGAACAGTTCAGCGTATGTCCCAAGATGTTTGACACATACCATGGTGGCTTAACGTATCTTACACAAACTGGAGTGTCACAAGAGGTATTGCGTGAATAACCTGTGAGTTTCCAGAAGAAAAGCTTCAATTGGTTCAATTGGTTCCCTGCTTTTTCACTGGGAAATGAAAAGCTACTCAATTCTGGTTGGATTAGAAGTCCCCCCCAAAAATGGGTAATTTTTTGATTGGCTGAATGTGTACTTGCTGAGAAGAGAAAGCGTTTGTCACACCCCTGAGGAAACACGTTATAAAAGAGGCTCTCAGCCCCACAGCCAAAGCCTTCTGGAGGGAAGGGACCAAGAGCAGGTCTTTGGCTTCTGGGCTCACCTGATACCTGGTAACTTCTCAGTTCTTTTCAGTCTTTCTTTCAATGTCTGCTGTTGTCTTTTCCTCAAAAAAACCAACCCCCCCCCCCAAAAAAAAAACAAACCCCAAACCAAACCCAAAACCAACTCCAAACCTCTGCATTATTAACCTAAATTTGTAGCTTACTACAAAAGGTTAATGTAAGTTTTCCAGAAATAGCACAAGTTGAATAAGAAGTTCAAATACGTGCTAATACCTAGAATACTTTGATAAAAATACTCTGCTTACTAACTCTAGGAAAAAATCTGGCTGGCTCAGGTTACTTTAGAGAGGTCTGTGGTCCAGAGAAATTGGTGATCTCTTTGATAGAAACCAGCATATATTTTTTGTCTATGTCTCTCTGTTAAGAACTTTATTTCATTGTCAGAATTGTTAACTTTGCCTACTTGTTTCTCCTGATATTTTTAAATATATAGAAATTTGTGTAAACTTCTAATACTAATTTCAAAGTTGTTTTGAGCCAATCTCTACCATTCCATTTACAGAAATATGACTTTTCAGTACATCATTTCCCTTCCTTGCTTAAGATAACATAATTTGTGACAGATCAGAAGATTCTCTAATGCCAAGATAGACATTAACTACCTCTTCTTTATCCATAAGCCCCCTTCTAGGACATCTTATCCCATTTCGCTTATATTAGTTCAATTATTAACTCTTTCAACGAAGGCATTACATGTTTGTTTTTCAAATTTCATTTGTCAAATGCGAACTGATTTGGTTGGACGTTTCCATCCTAGAACTGCTGCCTGTAGAATAAGACTGAAGATTTTGAGCAGTTGATTTTAGCTGTTTTTTCTTAATAAATTCTAACATTGCAAAATAAACTTTTTTTCCCCTGAAATTTGTAAGTTTGACTGTACAATCACCTCATTTTGCTTAGTGTTGTTTATTTATTAGCTCAAACATTTAACTAAAAATAAAGTCACGATTGCATTTTGGCTAAGGACTATTTACAAAATGTGAAAGAAATCCAAGCAATTAAACTAGTAAAATAACATAATGATCACATAGCAGTCATGATGTCATATGGGTCTTACTGGTTATTTATTAAAGTTTGGAGAAAAAGGCAATATAAATGTCATTTTGATTAACGCAGTATTTGTACAGTTCAGAAGACTGTAAATCCCAGGGACTGTCTGTCATACACCTTTCTTGGTGCTTTTTCCTACAGTGACACAGCAAATCCGCAGTCATGAAGATCCTTTACCTGCTCTTTTCTCTCCTCTTCTTGGCACTCCAGGTTTCTCCAGGTAAGATGGAAAAGAGATGCTAGAAGGGGATTTTTGTGCACCTGAAGTCAACTTTCCAGCACATTTTAACCACTACTGGTTAAAATTGCTAGAAACTGAGCAGTAGTTAGTCAAATAGCTCAGTGCTCCCCTATTAAAACTCTTTCAAAGGTGGAGAAGTTATGACCTCTGCAGAAAAGTGAATTTTCACTTCTGATGTCTTCCTAAAAAGATCATGCTAAATGCTCTGGTGTTATACACCTGAGATGTGTCTGTGATCTTTGGATAACGGCACACTCAGCAGAGCATATGCAGATGAAAATGAAGCCTGGCAAACTATTTTTGGATAGGAGCCAGTATTAAAGCCTCTGGATCCATGACGTTTTTCTATAAAGGACAATGAGTCAGGAGGTCTGTCTCATTCTGCACTTGGACTTTAAGGCCATCCATTTAGATGCACTGTGAGGTAGGGATCCCACCTCTGCAAGGTGTAGACCTGCTTTGCAATCGCACCTCTTACATGGCCTTTCACCACAGCCAAATCTGGGCAACAGTCCTTAAGGCAAGTCGGTGGTGAAGGCATGGGATGAAGGAATGGGAAAGCCTGCTGGCATCACGACTGCATTGCCCTGCCCTGCAGAATGAGGGAAGGAAATGTTTTGTTATCATTGCAGGTCTGTCTTCACCCCGGAGGGACATGTTTCTCTGTAGAAAAGGGTCCTGTCACTTTGGAAGATGTCCCATCCATCTGATTAGAGTTGGAAGTTGCTTTGGGTTCCGCTCCTGCTGCAAAGCGTGAGTTTGACATTCACCAATCTTATCTGCAGTATGAGCAGACAAATCTGTTTTGCCTGTGTCCTTAACCCCAAGGTGCTATTGAATGTTCAGATTAGATATAAGGAAAAAAACTCACTACACCATGGGGACAGTCAGGCGTTGAAGTAGGTTGAGCTCCACAGTGCTCCTTCTCCTGAGATGTCCACCATGATCTGCCCCAGCAAGAAGGATAAAATATGGTTGGAGCTGTCAGCCTTGTGCTGTGTCAGCTCTGTTTGACCCCTTTACAGCTCCTATGCCAGAGGAAAATATCAGGGTTTGGTATATGCAGAACTGGGCTGCTGTGCTGTATGGGGAACAGAGGGGAATTCAGATAAGCTGCAGGGTGAACACAGATCTCTGAGTTCCATCAAATGTGTGCAAAAAGTGCAACAGTAAAAAGAAATTATCATATGAAAGGTAACCACCTATTTTCATTTGGGAATGAATGCATTCACCCCAATATCAAGTGATATCAATTTAATTCCCTGCTTTCTCTGAAGCAATAGCAAAACACTCTTACTCACAGGTATGAGTGCACAGGGCTGTCCCAGCTTGACTGCACATGACATCATTGAGTATTTTGGAAAGTATTTATACCCAAGAGGAAAATACACATGGAATGAGAATAAGTAGGGAGAGAATAAAAGCAGAAAGAGAATCTGAATATTTTTTTTTTTTTTTCCTTTGTACAGGCCATGGAATCTATAAAACTTAATGGACTGCCCATTCAAGAGTGATGAAAATTTCTTGTAAACTTTGGAATTTGCTTTGAATCCTCTTACTGCTAAAACCACCTGATCCTGCTGCAAAGCTGCATGCACCTTTCATTTTTTAATGCAAAAAGCTTCATGATGTAGAGTTAAAGCCAAATGTATTCTGCATTGCTTTCCCTCCTTTTGAATAAATCGTTGTTGCTCAGCATTCACTGAAACATGGGTGTCTGTTGCATGGGTTGAGGTCGATGATCCTACCTGGGTTTTGACACACAAACCCCAGAGGGCAACAATTTACAGCACCAACTGCTCCTTAATTTGAGCTTTTCTGAGCTGTCCAGGGCTAGACAGATACAGACTGAAGACCTTACCCTCCAGTACCAAGAGGCAGACTGGCTGGCAGGACTCAGCTTCCCTTTGCAGGAATGTGCTCAGATGCCCAAATCCCTTTTTTCTTACTATGCAGAAATCTTTTCTTTGGGAAAGAGAAATAGAAATAGTAAAAACCCAGGCACCCACCCACCATCACCATATGAGACTTAATGTTCTGGCTTCTGGAAGATACCTGTGAGCATCCAGGGAAAGATTTAGGCCTATTTTCTTTTTTTTAAATAGTGCAACAATTTATGTTAGTTTATGTGAGGTACTGGAACAGGTTGCTCGGAGAAGCTGTGGATGCCCTCTCCCTGGAAGTGTTCAAGTCCAGGTTGGATGCCCCATTCTTTGGGCAACGTGATCTAGTGGAGGGTGTCCCTGCCCATGGCAGGGGGGGTTGGAACTAGATGGGCTTTGAGGTCCCTTCCAACCCAAACCATTCTGTGATTCTATGATTCTATGATTTTCTCTCTAGAAGTTGTTTGTCCTGCATAATTTCACAACAATGGATGTAAGTTTTGCCTTTTTTTCCCCACCTGTCCCTCTGAGAGGATGCATAAAAGATAATAGATGGAGAACAGCTTATACTGGTCTCTCTTCATTGACTCTTCTCCCAGTCTCTCCACCATACGGCACACTCCCTTCAGTTCTCTGTTGAGATACACACATTTCTGAAATGTTGTTCAGGAAGGGATTTTATTTTCCTGCCAAAATTGCAACATTTATATGTCCCATGACTATTTCTTTGCACTTAGTAGGGAACAAACTTATCTTCAGGTGTCCCATCCAACTTCTAATCCTCCGTGGCGTGATTTCCTATACTCAAGTCTTTGCTACAGTAATGTAACTCAAAAGTCTTTGGAAAATGGGTGTTTGGAGGAATGCATGCCTGGAGAAGTAGTAGACCCTCTGCCTGGTGCTAGCTGATAATCCGGCGCTGTCGTGCAGTGAGACAGTTGGCAGGGCTCGCTCACACATCAAAGGGGGCTGAGAGGGTACTGTTGTCCCCCAGAGGAAACTTATCTAGAGGAAGCATCCAACACGCAACATGGCCATGCATTCAGCCAAAATGTCATGCTTCAGGCCTCTTCTCAGTGCATTTACAGCAGCTAGATTATGTCCACCATCAAAAAGCAGTTCAAAACTCATTGGGTAGATTATAGAAAAATGCCTCTGAGTGTTTCTTCCTTTTTTTTTTTTTTTTTTTTCCTCTTTGGTATAGACTGTAGACTTGCTCTCTCTCACACACTGCTAAGAGAAAAGCAAAGAAAATGCATAGGAGCCTTATGGTTGAAAGCAAGTCTAGCACTCTGTATTAAGAAGGGAAAAAAGGTACCAGAATAGAGACAAAGCAGTGAAAATCTGTGCCTGGAAAACATCAGGCTTTTTTTAGCTGTCATCATGACAGAAGTCGTAAGTTTTGCTGAGAAACGCAAGCGTACAAAGGAATTATCTTACAAAGAATACAATTGTTGACTATTCCTTAACCAGCAGATAAGCAGGATTATTTTATTTTATTTTATTTTATTTTAT